GGGGGGGTAATAGGACCTTAGTAAAGGTTAGGTGTGTCTCTGGGATTTCGGGCATAGGCTGGGGGGGTACTTATGCATTTTCCCGTTATTTATATAATACTAATGCATATATTTTTTAGGTATATACTTGATGCCAGGGATAAACCAATCATTACAATGCTAGAAATGATAAAGAATAAGCTAATGAAGAGATTGCATAGCAAGAGAATCTGGATTGAAAAATATCAAGATAAGATTTGCCCCAAAATTGTCAAAAAACTTAACAAAATTAGTAATGAGGCTGTTATGTTTAAACCTGACTATTCAGGGGGACCAAAGGTGTTGGTTAATGGACCTGGGGGACCATATGTGGTGGATATGATGGCTAAGAGTTGTACTTGTCGGAGATTTGAGCTAACTGGATTACCATGTCCTCATGCATATATCAGTATTATTGATAACAGTGAAAAAGTGGAAGATTATGTGAATCCATTATATCATATTGATACCTTCAAGAATGTGTATTCTCATTACATCAACCCAACAAATCATGAAGATCATTGGCCAAAAATATTAAATGGTGGACAAGTTTTTCCTCCTAATGTTGTGAAGAAAAAGAGGGGGAGGAAGCCCAAAAATAGGAAGAAAGAGCCAGAAGAATTAGAGAAGCAAAAAGCTGCTGAAACTACTAAAAAAAGAGCTCGAAAGAAGACCGAAAACATGAAACCTCAGAAGTTGTCAAAAAAAGGCTTTGTAAAAGGAAGGTGTTCAATTTGCAAGGAGGAGGGTCATAATGCAAAAGGTCATTATAATGTGCTCAAAAAGGTTGTTGGCACATCTTCCAATCAATCTCCAGGTCAGACCTTAGAGCAAGCTGAAAATGATGACTTCTGGGACTATTCTAAATTTTATCATCCAGAAATGTGAGTAAATTCCCAAATGAATTTGAACTTCACAAAGCAGTCAAATACAACTCAGGTAATGAGTTTTTTATTTGTTTTTTCTTTCATTAGTTTCATTGTTTAGTTGTAGCTTTTTTTCCATTGCTTTTATTGCTTAGATTTTTTTTTATATTTGCTCAGGTGTATGCTGAATCTGTTGATTGATCTTCCACTAAAAAGTGAAGAAATCATTTTGAAAGAGAAGAAATGAAGGATTATGTAGTTGCTTTGCAGAAGGAGAGAAACTCTAGCAAACATTTGAGATTATGTATTCGTGTCTTTTGTTAGTTATGTGAAGCACCTCTTTAGACACATGATCTGTCTTCTTTTTGCTAAAACCTCTGTGGTAACATTATGGTCTGCTACAGTGTGATGTTGCCACTTGTCTATAAAATATTATTTAGTTGTAAATATAGCAAATCATGACACGCTTTTTTGAAGCGTTTATGCTAAAAAAATTATTTTGAAGATCAAATTTGTTTATAAGGCGGTGATAAATTTTTTATTAAATTTATTGTCTTCTTCATCAGCTTCAAGGAACTAGTTTAATTTTTTCCTCGACAGCAAGGCTAAACTTTTGTATGGATATAATGACAAATACTCGTAAATGAAACATAGGATAAAGATTTTCGCTATAAAATTGAAGTAACTAGATTTTCATAGAGAATGGATTAATGCTCTCTTATAGATACATTAAACAAGTTGTCATTTAAAGAAATAAAAAATGTTAATAATAAAAAAGGAATAATGTGACATGGCATCCTATTAGGAGAGAGATAATATTTTTTTTGTGTGAAGTATATTTTGAGGAAAAAAGATCAAGTTGGGTGATATTATGGTCCTATAACAAACATAAATGATATTTGTAGGTAATTTCCCAAACATGGGTGACTATCTAGGGAAATTACTCCACAATCAATGTATGCAACATATTTTAACTAATGGAGTATCATATTTGCGTAGTGAATACTAGGAAATATGCACATTTTTTCCTTTCAAAATAACTAGGCCGGAATGATCTGGGAGGCTTTTGTACTTGGCTTCGTTTGTCAGTTGAACCCAAACTCATCGCTTTGCCAAATGAACCCTTAAACTCAATGAAACTCTATTTTTTAAACCCCTCTGACCATTGACTGAGCTTATGTGGCACTGAAATAGATTAGTTGGACAAATACATAACCCCACGCGTTTTGAAGCAAGTGAATGCAATATTTTTAATTTAAAATTATCAGAATTATAAGACAAAACAATAATAATAATATTATTTTTTTTTAAAATACTAAAAAAACTCCTTCTTCACTACACCCCACCCCCCACCCCTTCTATCTTCTTCTTCAGCCCCACCCCACCCTTTTTCTCTTCTTCGTCTTCAACCTCAGCCCCTATCC